AGCTTAAATTATTATTTAACTAAAGCATCTGGGGTCTGACATGTAAGGTGTAGCCTTTCTGTTATCAGCAATTTGAAATCTCATAAAAAAAAAAAACAGGAAAAAAGATCCAGCAAAAGCATTATCAAATCGGCAATATCCGGCCAAGCTAATAGTTTTGGGAAGGGTCTAATACGAACTTTCCTTTGGGAAAGATGAACAAGATTACATCTGTACGCCGAAGCTGCAATAATAATAATTTTGACAAAAATAGGTTTGTATTTGAAGCTAAGGTGGATAAAAGAAGGTTTGGAAAAAGTAGGCTTAAAAGTTGACGCGGGTATGGGAGACAAGTATTAGTTAGTTATGAACAAGCAATGGGTGTACAACTAATATTCGAATGTCTTTATTGTTGCACAATGATCGCCTTCAGAGTGAGCCGTTGATCATCAAACTTATAATTAATATAAATACATATATTTTACTTATCTAGATAAGTAATATATAAAGTCTGTAATGCAGAAGTTCTTTGGTATTAACACGGTTCAACTAAGTATACTCTGTTATTGTTACTTGTTTCGTTTTTGAATTTTTTTGTTGCTCAAAAACGGCTTATATCTTGAGGAGCTGAATAGAAGAAAGCTTATTCATATAATTTTTTAAGCATATTCCTCAATCCCCGAACGTCAGGATATTACTAGAATAAGGCAAAATTTTAATACGTATACGACACTGATTCAGTCAGCAAAGAAACAATTTGCTTGTTTAGCTTATGGTAGAGTCGGATTTGAATTTTACACAACAGGCATTAGCAAACAAAGAGGCTACTTAATATGATGACCTATTCTAAGTTCCGGATATTTAAATTGCCGTAGGACAACCGTAGCTGCTGGCAAGCTATATTTGGTCGACGAATAGCTTCAATTATTTCAAGCTTATTCATTGCACAATCGTATTCCTCTGCGGTCACTGAAGTTTCTGCTGCAAGAAAAACTAAAATTGATCAGACTGCCAGCTGTATGCGATATTTTTCCGGGGGAATGGCTTGTTCACAACAACCACCTCTAGATGATCATTTGCACAATTGTCCATCGCTAATGTTTCGTCCTCTTCATTGTATGAAGTTGAAGTACGCGCATTTCTATTGACGATGTCGAGCTGTTCAGCTTTTTTTTTGTCACTCGGCTTGATTCTTCGCGTCAGACTCGCTAACAAATATCACACAATCTAGGTTAATAAATTAAGCTATTTTTCTAAGAGACTTCAGTGACCTCAGTTTAGGTAGGATAGCGAAACGCATAAATCGCTTTCAGTTACGTAAGGTTAGTAGCTTGGGGTTTAAGTAAAATATATCACTGAGTCATTTTCGAAGACTGAAATTTGGGTCCGGCCAGTGCCGTACAGGCCAGGCTTATCGGGTAAGTAATGTTAAAAGTGGTTCTCATTCTGTTTGCTACGTGTAGCCGTAAGTGACAATGGTGCTTCACACCACACTTCATACGACCGTTCAGTGGTGGGGGCTATTGTTTACGCAGCAGTGCAAATATTGCAATTGTTTTGTCTATGCGTAAACAATACTGAAGCGCAATAGATTATAGGCGCTAATTTGGAGATAGTTGACGAAAAGTGAATCAATACCGAAATACCGAATTTATCTAATGTTCGCTAAACTCGAACACTATTATGTTCGAGTTCAAACTATATATAGATATTATATATAATTGTTTATTTGCCAGGTAAAATTTGATTACATAAATAAAAGAAATAAACTTCGAGCATTGTTTGTGTACTTATACATATATGCATATATATAAGGACTGACTTCAAAGCGGTAGATCTGCAAAATCGTTAGAAGGACCTTATTCTGGAATAGTATATAGCGCCTTAAAGACGAGTTTCAAGATTTTCTAAATATATCTCGTTTATATAGTTTGATTATAATAAAAGCACTGATGTCACGTCATAATGCGTTTTTGGAAGAGGCGGTCCGAATATAATGTTATCAATAAACGATACTATTTGTGATGATCGACTAATGGTAAGAAAAAAAAATCATACAAAAACTGAATGATACCAACACGTAAGTAGCCATAGCATCGTTAAGGGACAGAATTTGTAATCACCGAGCAAAATTAGGCCGTCTGGAAAAGCTGGCTATAAAGAGAAGCTTAAAAGAGTACTCCAGTGATTGACGCAAAATGTTACTAATCTGCAAAACTTCACAAGAAAAAAAGACGCACCGAAATTGAGCCTTTCTAAATCAGTCGATCACATACGATAATGTGGGGAAAAGAAGCCTAAAGTGATGCCAAAAAAGGTTGTAACACATTATTGAAAGGAATAAAGCGATATAGGCTAGACAGTAGGGGCGACATTTTTTGCTTACATCATACTTATCTACCTGGCACAAATTAAGAGAATCTGGATAGGAAAATTTAATGCATCCGCCCGGGTTTTCGACGATCAGAGTGTTTCGGTTTTTGCCGATCTCTTTTTAATGGATTTCATTCAGTTTCAAGGGAACTATGCGAAAATCCGCACATCACTATTGCAGTGATCAGACCATGATGTCATCAGAAAAAATATTAAAAGGTCGTAAGTTATTGCTTTAATTGCAGCGTAGCAAACCGTCGATACTTTTTACCCATGTTTAATAAAGGCTTCCGGATTTTATTCCGGCCGGTCATGGATTGTTGTGAACTGCATTGGTTGACGTATATAGTAGGCGTACCTGATGACTATATCTGCGATTTCGCCTATATCTACTGAATCAGCCCTTCGATAGAGCAATTACAAAATATAGCCATATAGGCCTTACTGAAGTCATTTGGGCTTTTTCAAATAGACCTAGAAAGTTTGCACCAGCTACGGCCGTATGTTCTTCGCTTATTATAGGTGGCCACTTGATATTTGTAATTACACCGCCAGAGGGCTCCATTTCTGACCGAACAAACATCGATGCTTAATTTCATTAGGATGCATGTAAACAAAAGTTAGCCACCGTTCTGCAACTTACTGCGACAGCATACATTGAGTTGAATGATAAACGTAGCGAAGTAACGAGTTTTTACATAAACATTTAAGAGTAATGCGAGTTAGCTCTCTTGTCGTCCTTGTCATTACAACTGGCTGAAGTGACTGCTATTGCAGCAGTAGCAAGGGTTTCTGCTATCCGCGTAAATTTTACGAGAAGAAGCGTACGTACAATTCTGTTGCTCACACTAACGGATACCCCGAATGCAATTGTTGAAATCGTAGCGATGATATCTATTGCTTCCAGCAGCCGCCAGGAAATAGGTCCAGTAGAAACACTACCCAAACATAGACCGGATAACGTAATCCGGCTTTTTCAGGTATCACAGCCACCGAATATGTGCTGGGCAGGTTTATGTTCGTCAGTAGATATTGAAATAACTTGCGAAACATCCCGTCTATCAGCTGTCGATATCGACTTTTAAAGAATCTATAAATTAAGGAAAGGAATTTAAAATTGAATATACATACATGCTAAGAACATGCAATATAATTAAGAACGTTTATCACAGCTCATCACAATGGTCACAATTACACTTGCAGTCTCGAAAGTGCATGAGGATCAAGCCGATTAGTAGGGATAAGACCTGAATTACACGCCAACTTGGCAACATTAATTCGCAAGTGTGAAACAAAGAAAAAACCGCCTTAGAATTTACCAATATACAGTAATCATACCAACGAAGTGTTTCCATTTTGTTTGAAGCCTCCGAACGCCAATACTTCCCCATTTACGGTAGAACCCGGTTTTTAAGAAACCAAAATTTCCCTGTGATACGAAAAGTTCGCAGCAGCTGCGGCGATCGGAGAGAGGGCGAAGCGAATGAAGCACAACTCCAAAAACGACTTTCCTCATTTTTCGTGCGGATATTTCTAGTCCGACGCAGAGGCACTATTTTCAATAAAAATTAAATATAGCCTTAATAGCAGTTGATATATGATCTCCATATCCGTCGTTAAGCTTTTTCGTACAGTTTCTATAGCTATATCAACGGCCAGTGGTTTTTTGGAAAGCTTTTGTTTAGGAGCAATCGGAGAAGACGCGCTTTCAAAGATTAGTAAATTCCTCCCTTGATTTGTAAATTCAGCCAATTCCACAAAATCATTGAAATTATTATGTAGTTGATTTGTTATTTGCGAGGCAAGCTCACTACGGCTATCGGCTCACCATGGAGCCAGTTCACCTTTGTCAAACGAACTTCTACTGAAGATACAGCTAAATAGTATAATTCAATCGTCGTACTGACGTCTCGACGAGTTTCAATCGATATTTTCTAGATTACTATGCATGGCTATTAAGGCTTACTGAGGTTTTAGCAAGTCGATGCTCCATTGTACGTCCCAAACGCCATCTTTTGTATTTGCAGCAGTGGAGAACTTCTCATGTCTCACGCCTGCTGTTGTTCTTTCGGTACTTGTTTCGTACACTCGTACCAGATGGATTATGTACACCCTATAGAAATTAGAAACCCGACTAATATCTCTATCCCTGTCAGCCACGGGGTATGGGATGTTCTATGGCAGGTTTATTCAGGCCCAACCAGGGACCAGGTTGCGTCATAACAGGCGCATCAGATAGGAGAATCAGATTCACGGTACAGATTGTGAACAAGTAGAACACAAAACGTGTCTTTTTCATCGCAGTTGCAAGGGCTCGTTCAGAATATGCTTCCTGCATCGGCGGGAGGCATTAAGATTATGTTTTCGCTAATGCGCACCTTATCGCGTGTGCGATACAACCCAGGCAAATATTCCAACCCACAAATTGTTAAAAAGGTACGCATTGAACGGCAAAAATAGGACAAAGGACAATTTGTGTGATGAATTAAAATCAACAATGTAAATGTCTGAAAATGAATCGTCGAATAGAAGCGAGCAATACAACCTAATAAAGCATGTAGAAATCTAGAATTATTATGATAATACTCATTTTACTGCTAATGAGGTATGGATTACATATTGTATTCCAGTGATCTTTTTCTAATGAGTCACCATCACTGGGCACAGTTGCAACGCAAACGACGTACGATTTTATTCCTTCGACAGATCAGGCCTCGAAATGATTCCATCAGACGAATGTCAGGTGTTGCTTCTCCGTAGGAGCCGACGTTAGACATTTAACCAGATACCTCACTAACGAAAGCTAAACCCATTGCGCTAGTGTTTCTCGTCGCCATCCAAACGTTGATAAGTGTAACAAACACGTTGACAAATACTTCCTGACAGTTATATAATTGACGAGTGCGTCGAAGTTTCACTGCAACGATAAAATGGCCATATAGCACTTTATAGTACTAAGCTTACCTTGCTTACAATCAACTGCCACAATCTCGCAAGAAGCAAAGAAAGAAAAAGGTAAAAGGATGCACCGTGATCTCACTTACATCGTATGCTGCCTACAAATGCAACCTTCTTTTTAATAGATTTTTTTTTATGTTACCTCACGGCAAATGTGACCGTTAACGGCATTCGTGGCTTCTCTTTGAGAATATTTTCCCTTAGCTTTCATGGCTGTCTGATTGTGCACAGATGTTTGATCTATATACAGATAGAGAATTGCGTTCTTTACGACAGGGTATCGTAATTGAACTTTGAACAATTTAACCAGTGGTACAGTTTCTGAAGTGTTTACCTTTGCCTACTATAAGTGTCTAGTATGCGTTGGCCAATATCTAATACAAAACGCCGAATATGCCCAGTAGAGCTAATCTTTAGAAGAGTCTAATAGAGAGTAATAATCTAAAGGACACATACTCAAAGTTATGTCGACGACTTGTTTTGAAGGCAAAGTGGTAATGTAGGTGCCGTTGCTCCCCATAACTTCGATCAATGCGTAGTGAAGAGCAACACACGACGTACGAGGTGGTATAAGCTTCATAGGGTACGTCCACGCCGCAATAACCACAAGGGGGTACATGTAACTAGGAAGAATACCACCGTCGTCCTCTTTGTATCTCAGCACTTGCTGAAAAAAAATATAAAATCTTCTATTTTATTTATTCACATATAAAATAAAGTATAATATTGATAATAGAACTTGAACCAAATTATTCTAGTTTCAACAGCGCCGAAGGTGCTGCCACCCAAGCGTCACAAATTATATAGTGACTACTATTATACATAATAATCCTGTTCCATATTCATATATGCGCAATGTAAAGAACCGCACGCGTATATTGACCCTTTCCTGAGATTAGTGTATGCGATTAGTACGCGTACACTATAGTGTGATACCTGCATCACATCGAATCGTAAAGGATAATTCCCGCAGACGAAACCGCATTTGGGATTGTACACATTTGTACATAGAGAAATCGTTTTATAAATCAGTTTTTTTAAGATGATCATCGAAAACCTTGCCATCAAAAGCTTCTTAAGCCAACAGACCCCTATAAACCGCGCAGAAATACAGAAAGTAAGCATATTTACGGAGGTCCTACTAGTATAGAAAACAATAGGTAATTTCAATATCTAGGGAAAAAGATGTTCAGTCTTAAAAAACAGACTACCGATAACAGAAGATCAGATTTATCAATGGCTGACCGCGTAGCGCAGTAACTCCTCTATCGCGCGTAGACAATTAATAAATAAATAAATAAATCCACCTTATAAATCTCCCTATACATAGGAAACAAGAGAATCTAGAAATATCTAAGTATATACGGACAGTATAGAGAAAAAATGCTGGAACTATTGACAGCATAAAATGCATCCTCTGAGCGATTGCACGAATTTAGGAAAATCTTGATAAGTTTAAATGTTTAGGGAGCGTATCGAATAGGTTAGCAAAGGTATTCTTAATAAGTTCAAGAAGCGCATAATATTACTCTACTGTCGACTAAGAGCGAAAGTTAGCGCTAACTTAACGCAACAATAAAAGCAGCTTTCATTGTAGCTGCATAGCTTCCGATTACGGCGCAGAAGATAATTCATCAATTTACATATGTATTGCTATCTGTACCTTATATACTATATACGTGATTTATATGGCGATTTAACTTAACGTTACCAGAACTAGATTAGCTCTCCGAAGGAGTCTCTGCGGTTCAGTTTTTGCATCGCCATTAAGCGCTGTATCGGCCTGTTGCACATAGACGGCGGCTTCCAATGAACAGTTTGACACTGTCGGAACACTTGAACTGAAACACGTACTCGCCATTTAAGTTCTCTGAATCCGACCATTTATCTGATCAGAAAGAGTGCGAATATATTTGATTTTTCCGCTAAATCTAATTTTTCCTCACTAGTTTTCTATAGCCACCGTTGAGCGCCAACAGTTGCTTTAACTTAACGGAAAACAACTTACTTGTCTATTATTTCTTTTATTACTGTAGTTGAAATGATTCCTGAAAGGTTGACCCCTGGACAAAGCCACTCAATCGTATGTTTGTCGTCTAGCGTCTTGTCAAAAGAAATCACATGACGAGTAACGACCGGTACGAACGCTATGCAAAAAGTTTCAAAATTTATCTGGCGTATCTCCACATATGGTGGATGTAATGCATATGTTTTGATGAGGTATATCGATTTAACAAAAAGATCTTGAAGGGATAATGTGTCCATGACGGTCGAGTTCGTCAGTGGAACCCTGCGACTTTTGTTAAGACCTTCAAATATGGAGTCGCACAAGAACACCGAGCCGTTGAAGAGGTTATAATCGAGACCCAAACGAACACGCTCTACGAATGGCTGTTCAAGGTCAGTGAATACTTCGCCCAAGCGCTGTTTGACCGAATCATTTTTTGTAATCTCATCAAAGAACCGGTACATGTCGAACCGCCATAGCAGGACCGAGTCATTTGCAGAAATTACGCACAGATTAGCGAATCGCGTTGTTATTGGATAATTTTCATCCTGGAGAGTATCAAAAACTTTTGCCACAATGTACCTTATACCCGCCTCGGTTTTTGGCGAGAATGTATACGTGCCTAGGTAAAAGCTAATGACCATCACAATGTAGAAGGCTGTAACAGCACCAGCGTGATAACTGTAATGTACGATGTCATGTCGAATATGGCGTATAAGCTCGAGACAAACGGAACCGCGAGGCTTCGCGCAGAAGGGCGATAGCATCAAGCCAGGTTGAACCTTAATATTTGACAAATCCTGATTGTCGGTGCGACTTCGACTGGGCGTTAAGGTATCACTACTTGATGATCCACGATCATTTTCGACTTCGTTTTTCATTCTAAATCACATCGGCGGGATGTCACCGAACGCTTTGAAAACTAGTCGTGTGACTATTGGCGCTAGTTTAACTTTTAAACAATAAACCCACTCGCAGATAGAATGTAGGGTCTGCTTCCGTTCTGATAAGCTTGGCTCAAATCGATACGATTCACTGTGGCTGTGCTTCTATATTGTACTCTATCGTACACCCAGTAACCATGAATGCTTCGAACTAAAGTGCTAACTCTGCCTAGCCCCTAGATCGCTAGCTTTCACAGCTAGCTCCACAGGGGTTTTGGACGAAATACAAAAAGCTACCTTGTTGCAGGTTTGCGGTCGATCGAAGCAGTAGATTTTTAATGGAAACATGCGGTGTATTGATATTAGCACAAACTGAATAGTCAAGCTTCAAATGCTAGGCTCATCCCAGACCAGTTTCAGACGACTATTCTAGACGTAGGTGAGCACGAGAATTAATTATCGTTGAACATTTTGGATAAAACACGGAACGTTTCAAAGACTCCTAATATGTTTTTTATTCAAATCAAAATCTATTCTTCGATAACAACCAAAACAGCTTGCAGTGCTGATGTAATATATCTCAAATCGACATTGGACTTATGGCTATTTTCACGTTGACTTCTAGGTCACCGTCATCACTAGTAGCAGCCTATAAGAAATCCTTATTTTTAAACTGGTCGAGCCAACGTCTCTGTTGTCCCAGGACATCTGCAATATACATTTCGAGACAAAAAAAACAGTTAGGTATTTGTCAACGATCGCCGTTCCTTTGAGTTAATAATCGGTGCTACTTGGGTAAAACCAGAAACATTGTATTATCGAACTTATCCTACATAATAGGAAATAGATAAGAAGATAGTAAAATATTCATAATGAAGGGTGGACAAGCAGCTTTTCTCGCAAATAATCGAATCATTTTTTCACAATAAAATTTTTCACAAAAAAAAATTACCAATGTATACATTCGTTTAGGAGCAATTTATAGCGTCATTATTGTCTCTAAGGTATCAAACAAAACATCGCAAAATGGAGATAAGCTCTGAATGTCATTTCACACGTTCAGTATGGCCATCAGCGTCACATACAACTCGTGTTGGACCGTTCTGTGTATGATCTTAACTTTCCCAACGGGTAATTCTGCCCTCAAGATTAGAAGATGCTGATCAGAAGATTCGAGTGGCACACGACACGATTGAGATAAAGAGCTAGGTTGATATCACTGAAATGGTACGCCAATATACCTAGTAGCATATCATTAGAGCGCAAATTTTTTTTTTTAATCAATTCGTATTCATTCTACATTTGTAATTCGTTCAGATCAGGGCAACTCTAAATACCCTAAGTGGGGCATTTGTTAGCCTTTTAACGATCTGAAACGGTATTAGATTTGTTTTAGTCTTTTAATGTAGGGTTCCTATGATTGCAGAAGCACTAATTTGAGAGCACCGATACGTTGAGGATGAACGGCATAAAATGATAATTTTTCATCTCATCAAATGTAACGAGTGCACGCACGTAAGAGAAAACTATTTGATTTTCATCGCGTTTAGTGTGACATACGGTGGAACGGATAGATAGGCATAATGCAGACGCCACTCAAAATTCGGCTGTCAACGTTTCCATCTTGCCTTCAATCGTCAACCGTATTATCTTACAAACGACTCACATTTTTGTATTCTACGTACACACATCCGTAAATCAATACACTCGTGTCTTGATTTTTCTCGGTGAGAACATGCACAACATACATGTGCGTGTTTACGTTTGAGCTCAATTCTTAGAAGTTTCGCGCCTGGATTGCCACTTCCTTGATCGACATTTGCTATTTCCATGTTTGGGAAAACAAGCCAAGTGGTACAGTAGCTAGTAGAATTCAGAAACACCAAAAAAAAACAAAAAGAAAAATTAGCGTACGCTGGATCTCTCTAAAAAAACGACCAGATCCACGATTCAAGTGCAATGTCATGGACAGTCATGGTCCTTCGAAGCTCCACTCACCCAAATCTCATACTATGCTGTAAATGGAAGCCAAATTGGACCCGTGTTCTACAACAGTAGCAATAGAGATGAACGCTCCCCGAGTAAATGTTCGTTCTATTATAGTATAGAAATATTTTGGACACCGATTACCATATACCAAATACGGTTAATATGAAGGACAACTAAATTTTAAATGGTTCGAGTCAAATAGATGGATTTTGAAAGCCTAACATAGTTCTACTGACAGCTAACTAAAATATCCAGACCAATTTACCTTAACAGTCTTTACTGGTGTGATTGGTACATGTGATCAAACGTGGCCACAACCATAACGAAAACGATTCGAATATTTCGGTTTCCTTAAAAAGGCTAGCAAATCACTAAATAACGACAAAGTACAGTATGCCTTGTGGCTTTCTCTCGTCGCAAGGACTGAACTGAATCTGAAGTTGTGTTGCTTTGTCGCCATTTGTCGAAAGGTGGGGCCTGGGTCCGACCGTGTCCACCATCGGCTCTTCTCGTTTCTCGGATTGCGCAAACACTTGAATGGCCTCATGGACCCCTTTCACGTCGACCTTTAATCTTACCCCCCTCATCGTGAATCAAGAATCTGTACACAGTACATCGTTCCCCTCAACGAATCTTCGCTACGGCAGAAGTCGCGTTACCAATGTGAGTAAACTACATGTAATCTACGTGCGTAATTTGCTTTTGTGTATGTCTGTGAACGTACATTGTATGTGCACGCAAGATTCGAAAGTTCAGTAATGTGAAAAAGTACTTAGATCTCCCGTAATCTTCACCGTTCAGTATTAGCATATAGGGCTGCCTCGTGCCTGTGCGAGACGATTTTTCTCAAACTAGTTAAAGGGATAACACAAATGAGTAGTTGCTTTTCGAGCACTGAACTTACTGCGGATTAGTAAAACTGTCACGTAGCTGGGCTTTCATTGTATAAATTGAGTCTTTTACTATTAATAAATCACTGGGGAGTAGTATAGTGGTACGTACATCGAACGAACAATCGAGCATATAATAAGCACACACATAGTAAAACTTTAGTAAAGCCAATTACTAGCATGAAGTCTGTTAGGTCAGGTTTACAAGATCTCTAATAGGCCCGCTCTGCGCACGTTCACGTCTCTAGGTGACTGAACCGAAGGTCGTCGCGCAGTGTGTTCATATGGTGCCTGCGGGATCGGATCTAGTGCCCGGAGAAGGGCTCGTGTGGACTGGCCGAAATTTCAAGGGTAATCCATGTTTCGGCTTAGCCAGAACGCGAGGCGGTTACCCAGGAGGATGGACGCCGCTGAACTCTTCATTTCAGCTCGTTCATTTGCTAAACACGCCTGATAGGTGTGTCTCCATGACCTGTTGGCAAAGGGACGCCCTGTTAATTACCTCTAATTTGAACGCGTCAGAAGACGGAGCTAATGTTTCATTCGAGCGTCCCGGACAATTGACTTCGTCCGATAGGGGTGCAGGTGATGCACCTTAAAAAATACTCCGACAGAACGGAACCGTACGAGACCCCTCTAGGTGGTTAAATCTTTCATTGAATAAGTTATAGCTACAGGTTATGCGTTTCCGTTTGGTATACGTTCAGTTGCTAATATCATTGTTATTATCATATTACTACCACGTTTGTTGCCGCGAACGAATGAAGTATCAAGCCGTTGCAAAACACAAAATTAATTGAATTGATGCGGTTCTCGTGAGCACGGTAATCGGAAGTGGCAGTGACATTCAATAAAGAGTCCTGTTCTTACAAATTCTAGTATCTTGTGTATGTTATCGTTCGTGTGGTACTACGATTTACCTCGAGACGCAGGGAGAAACACCCCTTCGGCTGCAAAAAACTGAAAACATCATTCGATCTATGTAAAAACAGTATCGAATGTGAAGTTAGACATTTTCACAATCTTAATCTTGTCACAAAAAAGAACTAGCTTGATTTATGTAATTCAAGTTAATTCTTACACAACACTAAGCATCACAGATTCAAAAGTGAAGACACCGCATAGTAGAAAATGTTTCATATCATATTATGCAAAGTATGATTGCTTTCATAGGGAGCGGATAGCGAACAAATAGGTAACACAATCTGACCCTCGTCACGAGCAATTTAAGAAAAAGGCTATCATAGTCGACTAAGTACTCATGAGACGCTTTATGTTGTATGTGTGATCAGGTACACAATCCATTGCCTAAATGCTGGTTAGCGCTAATGGAAATCGAAGGCACGCATCGGAAGCCGCCTATAAACGACGATCGAGACAAAAGCGGTCGGAATCTATGATTTTATTGAGATTCAATGAAGCGGCAGATGTTGAATCCATTCAACGGAAGATAACACGAACGTAAAATGTAAACTTGTACATGAGCAGAACGTATTTGTGAGAAAATTATTATACTACTTAAGGACACGCTCAAGGACTGAAGACAAATCAAGGCGCACCTCAAAGCCGAGTTCACTTGAGCTTGTTCTAACGGACCTTCTATCAGAAACGCGGTCCTTGGAAGTTCTTTATAGATGCTTTACTAATTGTACTTGCATGATATATTTGTGAAGATTATTTGGATCCCCATTGTGTTTCAGGATACTACGGTTTCTGACGTGCTATTTTATTGAAATCCGGATAAGAAGCTCGAAATCGCAAAACAACTTCCATTTTCTAACGTTGCCCGAAATTGCGTCCAAGAGATCTATTATATAATATTGATGTTTAAACTACTGGAACACTTTGGCGATTCCTCAACTAGAGTGGGCAATAGCAAGCCCAAATAAGTATGATCTTCCATATTAAATCTATAATAGCTCAACAAAAGCAGGCTTAGCAAAATGTCTATCTGTATATGCATATCAGTATTTTCGAACTGTTTGTTTACAATGGAGTTACAATGGTTTCGACGCTGTAGCAGAACTTGTTGAACATTTTGACATGGTTAACAACAATGTAAGGAAAGCTGAGTTCTTCCTTGCAGGGATTTCGTAATGACTGCAGAATATTTTTCTCTCATTTGTCCTTGGCATTGATCCTTTGTACGTAATCTACCTCAAGCTCCACTACTTAGCTCTAAACTAATATTAACCAATAAAATCACACTTCGTAGGTGTACAGTATTTAATAAAGGAACTTGATATTAGAAATTAGAAGCAACTACCTTCATTAGTCGTATATAGATTTTCGTGTGACATACACGCCAAAACAACAGGTTAAGGTTTAATGAGCAAAAACTACTAGATCAAAAATATGATAAATTCGCTTAGGTAAGTTGTGTTTTACAAGTTTACATACACGTGCTAACGCTTGAGCTGAGTACAGATGAGACAAAGATGAGGCGAACTTTCGCCGGTCGATATAAGTTAGATTAATGGTGACAATTGATTTGTATTTTATATATTGTATTTTTTTCGGGCAGCTTTTGTGCTAGAGCGTCAATCGGTACGCGCTGTTGTCATTACAGTATCAGTATTATATGTAACATAAACAGCACGATCGAACCCATAACCAGCGTAGCCACCTACTATCATTCGGTATTAAGATAAACAAATTGACTGCATACGCCATGACGATTTCATCTAATTCGAGTGATATGATGACCTACAATCTATATTACATTCATTACTTAAACTTTTTTCAGAAAAACATATCATTTCACCGGAGTTTGGCAAAATATATCATTGCTGCCTACTAGAAATAGGTATCCTCCGGATGCTATTGCAAAGCAGAAATTAGAACTGTACAGGTAGCCTATCAGGTAAAAACAAGCTACAAATAACGTCTTCAACAGTAAGACGTACACCACAACGTACGTTTGACTAATATCTATAATTTTAAACTGTCTAAAATCGTTTAGCTAACTTCCTGTCTTTATTGTGATGTCTTATCGGCGCGACAAACGATGATACCTACAATGAGGAACTCAATTTTTCTCCTGTATCATCCGGTTGGTTAGCTATTTTGACATTGCAGTCGATACTGTGGCGATAGAAAAACTTGTCCATCGCTTAAATTAGCTGAACCGGCTTTGATACAGATCTGCTAAATGGTAAGTCTTGTTAGAGAGTCTCTATTGATTCCGTATCACGGCATTTATATGGTATCATACAGCATAAGATTGTTTAGGAGAGGACCACTTGAAACGCTATCTATCTGCATAAGTAAAGTTAATAATATAGTAAATAAATTAAATGACGACAAAAGTGACTCAGACCGTTTCGATTTGCGAACGTCTTCGACGAAAGGACTCAAACCTACCGGCCCTTCTTTAAATTGATATACGATGTTATATCCGTGGGCTTTCGTAAAACTGCTTTCTGGTTTATGTAGCTTATATATCATTTTTTACACAGGAGTGAAATTTCCCCTACAGCGTTGCTCTTCTATGGTGGTCGTTTGCAGTATCTCGGATGATTACCTTCAAATAGCCGTTATCGGCGCTCTTTACCTCAGACTTAAGTTCGTTTTACCCTGTCGCAGGTTCTCGTTTTGCTGTTCACTTTTTTTTTGCTACACTCAAGCACAGTCTGTTGACATAGATGTTGCTGGATTGGTGTTCCGATATGGTATATGTATTGCTGATTAAAAAAGCTCATTTAAGATTCAGGACTCCACACATCTACTTGAAATGAAAGGCACTCTTACAGTAAATGCATGTAATTATTTTTCCTATCACCAACGGTTGGCTTTAAAACGTCTGCATTTCTGGAGTGTCCTGGAAGATATTAGGCAAACCTAAGCTTTGACAAAGACTTCGTCGTTTCCTTTTCCAGTGTCCTTGGCAGTCATAGTCCTCAAAAGTTCTAGCAGGAGTTTTCCCGCAGTGCTCCCCCTACGTGAATCTAGGGCCCCAATGCGGAACTTTTCGATTCGCACTATGATAACAATAGAGTTCACGGTCCTCAGGCTCAGGCTAAAGCTGACTTCTATTTGCATCGTTCTAGGAATCATAGTTGTTTATCAACGATGCTGTGTTACGCAAAGTGGTCAAAATGGTACTCTTACTGATTCAGTGTACCACCGAACTGTCAACGAAGATGGCTTCACAAAATTCATACAACACGCTCACCAGTTGTAAACACTTCACTTTATCTTCTATAGTATGCATTGATAGGCCTAAATATGAATCATGAGTACGAGGCGAAGTTCGGATGATGCCTTTAACAGCAGTAATAACATACACAATACTGAATCGATTTTTCTTTGTTAAGCTTACTGGTTTAATAAGGTTTCTTTTTTTTTTTACCAGAGTGTAAGAATCTCAATAGCAAAGCTCGTATTGAGCAGCTTTTATAAGTTAGAAAGAATTACGCCAATCAGATAATGCAGGCCAAGAAAAATATTTTGCAAATGTAAAATTTACAGATTCACATCTTAGTAACTTGTCCATTAAACAAGATAACTTACATCGATCTTCTAGCAAGGCAAATATTGGAGATGCAATTTAACCAGTGGGATAGTTCGCTTTTATATTGTTTTTAACGTTGTTGTCAACGTTTTTCGAGTGCAGCCCCTAATGATCATTTCAATATCGTTCCATATACATTATTAACATGAAATTTTTCACCAAAGACTCAACATAAGATCATGATACAATCGACATACTAGTGCGTAATAAATATCACAAGACTATCTAACATCCTTTTTTTTGCCACTATGTCAGTGTCTAAAAGAACTGCTTGTCTACATATCAGCGAATACTGAAACGGATTAAAATATTGCCGAACATAGCACGGCCACCGACAGGATACCGAAGCATCAGCAGAGCGGATGTACATACTTATATTAACAGCGCCAAACATTTGCCCAGTCGTTTATTGTCTTGTAAGTATCGATACGTTATTACGACCGCGCACAGATTCGAACAAACGGACCGTGTCAAACTGAACGATGAGTGAAAATGTATTCTCGTTTAGAAATTAGGATCGATTCTGCGATATATATCTCAAAGCAACATAAAACAGCTGGTTCTGTACGTTCGGCTATACTCAGTCAAACCTTAGCCGATTCTATAAAGTCGTTATGACTCTGCTATACGTTTGTGACACTTAGTAGACCTTTCCGAGCTATAATAATTTTATTTAAGAGATACAAGTTAATCGTCTGTGAATAAATAAATTTTATTCGATGTGGGCCGTATGCAGTCGATAGGTAGTAATTTTGTGATAGATCGAAGTGTCTCGAGTACGTCTGTCCATTTTAGACGAACGGCCACCTCCTTTTTGGTAAGTAAGCCAGCGCATGCCATACACTGCTTTATTTACGGTGTGCCCCGTGATTATTTCAGGACATGCATATTTTGATAACAGAACTATACCTAGCTTGTATTATTGCTGAAAATATCTAGTTTACTCTGGATAGACGGAGACATCCCTTGGGACTTTCTTGCCTGAATGTCTTGAAGAGGTCTTTGCTATTCGAATACACGAAGTAGCGCCTTCATTCGTTTGTTACGAGATGACTCGTTTTTGTCCTATTTTTCCAGCACCAGCTACGATTGATTCTGCTTTTCATTGCTCTGCTTCGAGTTTGGGGTTCTGTTGCAACTATGTATGCCTGTTGCTGAATTGATTAAAAAAAATTAATATCAGTAGGACGTAACACAGCACGTTTTTATAACCAAAAAAAAAAGGCTGTCATTGGCGCCTTTCGAAAATATCAACATCTGTGAAATAGAAGGGACAGACTGCTAGACATGTAAATATAAAATTGTTCTATTATTATCATTCTGACTATATATATATATATATATATATATATATATATATGTGTGTGTATTTATAGTCATCATCTAACGTACCGAAGCTTGATTCTCATAACCATAGACAAAACGGGTGCGATAAGAACCGAATACGTGAGCGCTTTGTTGCCCTAAGCCTATTCATACATTAATCAAGGTGTACAGACCCCCAACGAATATTTTTGGTTCGATTTACTCGACTGATATCAGCAGTGCAGCTCTGCACTGAACTGCGATAACAGTTATCAATTCTAACTAAAAAAATACTGGTTTTCGGGTTGTTGTTTCATAGCTATCGTGTGGCTAGTGGTACAAACATAGATCTCTGTACACATCTGTATGTTGGAAGTAATTTTTTTTTAGTTAGGATAGACTTACGTCGAAAAAAAGCAAGCGAACGAAGCATCGAGACAAGGTCCTGAAGCTTCTAAGCCTCTCGCTTCTAATGATTTATTTAACACGATGTGATTGGTCGCATCCGAAGTTTGTTGGCTATTTAAAAGAATATCAAGAAATCCAAAAAGGGAAGAAGCTAAACGTATTATTTCCTGAAATAGATGGTAAAGTAGTTGTTGAGCCTCAAATCTGAATCTTCTCCCATCATATACGTATACGATAAGGAAATGTAGTTTCATATAGACCACTAGCAACGACATATATATTGAGACTTAATTAGCGTAACAAAAGGCCAACGTATGGCTGATAATGATAACAAGAGAAAAGGAAAAAAACGGACGCTATTCATCTAGTACCTTCGGCGATAAAGCTGCTTTTCAGAATTTGGCAAATTTTGAGATTTCGCTGGTGAAGTTCTATCGGAATCTTTCAGCGTAATAGACGCCATTAAAATTTTTGTTTGTCGTGGCCGAACAGATAGGTCGAGCATGCAGTACGCAGAACTCTTTCAAATTCGTTTCTGTGTGTAGTTCAGTTATTTTCGGCCAGGTGTATCATTTCTTTTTTTCTATATAGGCGTTTCACGGTCTTCAGACATTTAGACCGTAGCGAGCCTATTCACTCAGTGGCTAATTTTTTACTGTCTAAAACATTTTTCTAACGAGAGCAAACAGTACACATGACCGAGACACCTTGCAACAGGAATGGACATATAAAACACTATAAATATGTAAGTAAAAACCACACGTTTACGGAAGCTCTATAAATTATTGGTGGCTTTTAATTCGTTTCATTTCCAAAATTATGTACCTGAAAAGACTAAGAAAAATCAGGTAAAGTTGTAGCTTTGTTAATGGGCCCATGCATATCTGCTGTAATATTGTAAGATCCTAGTGGTGTTTTTTCGAAACCAAACATTTCCGTGTTATTTGATTTATAGACAGTTGATCGAAATATCGAATACTACGTCTCACAGAAACTTTCGATGTGAACTCAGTACCTAATATGACCTGCAGTATCTCTCTATCTCTAGCCGGCCCGATAGGAGTACGTTTTACAAACAATTTCGCCGAGCTTAACAATTAAAATATTCATTCGTAGGAAGCTCCCCTGACGGCTACTCACTCATCGTTGCATGTAAGGATCGACATCTATAAGGCGAATCCTATAACGATCACAGATAACTTTAATTAATATGCTAACTTTCCAATTGAAATTTCGTGTACACGTTGCGGAAAAACGTGATATCGATTATCATAAAATGATTTCGAACACAATTGCAACCGCTCTTTGTAAATAAAGCTACGTACAAGCAACACGGCGTATCTCGAGCGCATCGAGATATGACAAACTCCTTAGTATTCCTATATTGAAGCGGTGTGGAATCGTGTAAATTTAGATCGTCCTCAACTTATAGACAGTTTTGGCGTTTTGCTCGTACTACTTTACATGCAGATCAGTCATTTTCCAGGTCGGAGCACCTGAGAGAACACATTCAAGTTAAAACCATCCTTCAGCAACCGAGCGTTCCGGCTGTCTCTACATATAAGCGTCATCGTTAGCATAGTCACCGTTACATGTACCATGCGTATAATATAATAGATGTGTACAAAACTTGATGTGCACATTAATCATACATGGTGTCACACAAATACTTCAGTACAAATAAACTGAATGATGGTTGAACTCGTGAAGATTGTGTTTAGGCGTACCGGCTGACCGGCTGTCTGCTTTGTCCTTCTTTGTAAATACTGCAGAGACACGTGCGACTAGAGGAAAGAACAAACAAATGGCACTGATAGTTAAACTATTTTGAGTGATGGATATTTTGCTGCATGGGCAAATTACTGGGGCTGCTCTGCTTTATGTTGCCTACCTTGAAGAAAACTATGGCCTCTGAAACTATCACTTATCAATGAGAACAAGCAGCCCATAGTTACGTGGGCACCGTCACGCACTGCTGTGGGTTACCGATTACAATTGTTTTAGCTTATGCACTAGTTTCTTTAGTGATATTCGGCTGTAGCAAGTAGCGAATATTCGACGTAAAAGGGACAATAATCAAGCTAGTAACCGGCTCTTCCAATCGATCACCGACTAATGTCGACCTATTTGATACCAATCAGCGTACCACCAGTGCGTAACGGTGCTAAGCGGTTTGTGAAAATTGTTCGTTCGTCTGGCTACCGTTAGGCGAAGCACGCAATATCAAAATATTTGAACAGTTACATCATTATGGAAGTATAATAATACAGTAAGCAAAATTAAGAAACTTCAAACGATTCCATCATAAATACATGTGCATATATATATATATATATATATATATATATATATATATATATAGGTAATAACAGCCCTTAAACATATTCATTAACTGAAAACAATCACCTGCGCATGGCTTACGCAATATCAGGAAAGCTGTATTTATACCTGAATGTTGTTCTACGTAAAAATAATATTCCAAGTTGCACGGTAGTTAAACAGGGTTTCTAACCGGTTACGACGCTTAAGTATCGTCGCTACATTATCCCTGTTCCCAACTAGGGAAACGCCGTTGACTTCATATTCACATTCAGACGCATCAATCCATACACAGATTAGGTAATGTTGTACATTATGAAAAGCAGACTCTAGATAAGGAAAAAATGTATTATTTGATAGGTTCGTGTCATGTTCGGATGAAACTGAGGGGTCCGTTAGCTAAGACGCGCCAAGTTTATACGCATTGAACACAGTGCAGATTTCGTTCATTCACGTAGCGATCTACAGGTCTTCTGGCAATAGTCGGTGATAAATCGTAGCAACGTTCGATACAACGCTTCAAAGGTCTTTCCAGACTTCTACTACTCTCATTCTAATTTCGTTGAAGAGGTTTCGCGCCCTACCAAATTTGAATATCCGTGAGGAGGGAAAGAGCGGGGTTTTCGGACTCTGTGATATCGTTCTCACAGACTCAGCTTGCCCACGGTGGGTGGCCCGAATGATATATGGGCTTCATTCACTTCCCCATTCCTAGCAGCCGAACCCGGGTATCCGCACAGGGTAGAATCACCAAACACTTAGGTGGCAACCGATCGCGTTGAGTGAGGTTGAAGTCTACCAGTGTTTAGGTTCTGCGAGAACTCTTTCGTTAGAATTAAACTCCGATATTATCGAGTCTCTCGCTCGTTCGCTCTCTCGCTCGCTCTCTCTTTTTCTGTTTCTCTGTTTCACCTGCACCCCACAGCTGTCATTAACCAGCGAACTAGTATGTGGTGGGTCAGACACGCCGTTTTTTCTTTACATTGTGCATCCAAATAACCGATTATATTTGGGGCAATAGATCGAGTGATCGCTGAGAGTACCGTCCGTCATCCGAGGTCTGCTCTCCGTTTCAAGCAAAACCGGTACGAAACTGCTGCGGCTGACATCGGACAGCTGGTACGACTCTACTGTGCTATCACGACGCAGAGGGAAGAGCCAAAAATGAAGTTGCACTGGCGCAGACGCTACCAGCGGAACACCTCTAGAGCATATACAGTTTATTAGATAATGTCTCTGTTCGGTTTCGGTGTGACAGCCTCGAAGCTTTTAAGGTGTTCTCAATTATATAAGTGTTCCTGGTAGAAGATACATCCCTTGAGTAGCATCATCCACTAGGAAGATCGCGCTTAAGCCGTCGTTCATTATAGAGCAGGCGGCAACTCGTTAAATGCACTTCGGTGTGAAAAAAAAACGACGATGCAAATCACCGACTTACACGCGTGTTTTCTAACGCACGTTATCAAAATGCTTAACGACGATCAGAAGTCAATAAGTGGATCCATTTTGAACGTTCCAACGATTCAGTCAGCCGACATTAAGCAACTGGTGTCTATTTAGTGCGAAAAGCTTTCATTCGTACTATCTCATCGTGTTCTCGATTGCTCCACTCCCTAATTAGGCCAGCGTTCAATTAGGAACCTTTGTAGTACGCTGCTTAATAATGGTATCGATGTAAGGCAAAATAACAACAAAAGAAGAGCTTGGAGCAGCGGAACTCAGGATGAGCCTACTTGTAAGATACGAATATTTGTGAGTGTGCAGTGCTGTGAAATTTCACAAGTGAGACTGCGCCTGTTTTTTGCGGTGTACGTCTACGTAGATCATGTATAAACATAAAGTGAGAAACGAATAAAAACGGCATCGTTGTCGCCGTAAATGGAACCCCATTAAAGGAGCTACGTAAATAGAGGCTATTTAGCCAAACCGTTAAACAGAGTCGAAACTCAGACGTAATCGATGAACTAGACGCAACATGGCTCGATCTGATGTGCAGTGAAATCTTTAACGTAAAATGTGAACACATTTGGGAATAAGAAATGAAGCATCGGAGCCGGCCAACTGCAGTGCCCGAGATAAATCGCTAAGTCATACACCTTTGACACAACTCTTTAGCTAATTGACATCTAAAGAACTAAACGAGTATTTAACACTGTTGTTTGGTAACTGTGCCGTGAACTGTGTTGGCTAGTTGTTTTTTTGTTTAGAAAAAAAAAAGTTACCGTTACATGTTATAGTCGGAATGACCGTTTGCATATTCAAAAATAATCAAATCCACCATCAACAGATACAAGTGGATTAGAGGTCTTTTATTACCTTTCTTATTATCTATACTTATTTATGTTTATTATCGAAATGCGCGCACTTCTGACCGATGTTGGACCACGGTTGCCATACGCAAACACAACGTTGTAGTTCTTCGGGTACAGAGTAGATATACAGTCGATTTCGTTCCATCCGTAAATTTTATCGATGCATAAACGTAAGAAAATCGGCGCTCATGCCGTTGACAGTATGCCTCTTTACCTTAAGGCTTTAAAACTCATTTAAAAAGTTACAGATAAGTTAGAAAAACACTTATAAATTCCTTCACGTGCGCGTTCAATGACGAATATGTCCCGTTACTTTTCGGTCATGCCGCACTTGTAGTACGTATAGGTTGGAATAGTTTTGCTGGTGATATCTTTCATTGCAAGTAGACTTTCCTTAAATTGCATGCGTGATCTTTCCCACAGATGTTATGGTGTTCCATTTTTCCACTACAAATATAGAAAATAAAATCATAGGGATTATTCAAAAAAAAACGCTGAACTCATATTAGTTTTTGTGACCGCGTCGAAAGCGAGTTAAAGCTAGATAGAACGCTCAGGGGCATTGTCATTCCGCCGTTGTGCTCACTTGGCATTAGCACAAAAAGAGAAACTTAACTTTAAAGAGAGACGTACAAAAGAAATTGTTCTAATTGGCCTAGAATTTCCTGTAAACGTTGTACGTCGCGGCAAGTTCTTGCTTTTTGTGTGAAGAGTCCATTTCGCAGCCGAACATTAAACTTCATTAATTTACTTAGTCAGTGCATAATTATCATGTTTGCGTTAGGTTGCCGGATCCGTGGATAACTTGATTGCACCAACTTTTTTTTAAGTTTGTCTTTGCACAAACAAGCTTTACTTAGGTCGAAGGGAATTAACGAGACGTCACAAATGAAAATTATCGAAAAAAAAAAAAGGAATAATGGATCATTTTGAATACATTGCATCTTATCATCTTAGTAGCGTGACTTTACCTTGAGTTAAGTTCTATTAGACGTTGACAGAACTCATCGCCCAAAATTAATTGGGTCTCTATGCTAATTTCTTAATGGTCAACTCAGCCTTAATTTTTCTATTCCGTCCGTCCTGCGCTATTTCTTTAATGAGCTTGTCTTTGTAATTTGCCTCCCTACGTAAAACCGAGTTTCCATTCTATTTCGGTGGTTGCCAGTTTACATCTGACAACAAAGGAAATTTGTTGCTTTGAGCTACGGTTTTTGGTTGCTCTTTTGAATTAAAGATACCATGATATAAAAAGTGAAGGTTCGCTCATCAGGAGTGCATGCCATTATGCCCCCTAAGTGTGTTATTTAATTTTGATCAGATAATGGTAGCATGCTCTAAACAGTTCGTCAGGCACATCGTATATCTTAATTCATAGAGATATTGAAAAGTCTCGAAATTGTATAGTACCTAGCGTTTTACGAAGGAGCTGAGATGAAAGATGGGTCAAGTCCTGTTATGGACTGCGCTAGCGCCAGGCAGTGTTACATAATGTTGTGGCTACAAAGCCGTTACTAACTTGCAACAGTCTGCTAGATGGTCGATACGGAACTAAAATGAATATAAACTTTAGCCATGTTGTCGTACATTTGTCAACTACCACTAATGGTATCACAAAAATCGTCTACATGCGAGTTAGCCAAAGAGAGAGGTAAATATCAGTTATTACTAAACGTAACAGACATGTTAAGAAATGTTAACACGGGCTTATTCTTGCAGGTTTCCACGATTTCAGCGTTGGGCTGTGAGGTGCTCATCGCAAATACAAACTGCATATTCGAATTATTGTCTGGGTAGAGTCAACACTTAATATAATAAATATAGTATGCTGTAAATAGACACCCGACATTTTGTCTTTGCTACGATATACTTTCGAGATAGCTACCTAAATGTGCCACCTTGAATGCTCCAAACCTTAATTCCGACTTTTTTTTAGGTCGTATGCATATGAATAGCAGTGAAAATTATACATTTCACGAGAAAACATAGGACAGCTATGTCGAGTGCATGCTTTCAGTTCTAGCTAACTTTACTTTGGAATGAACTTTAAGAACTTGTTTTCTAAAACAGCATAGTACAATAGGTATATAGAAGAAGTGCACGATTTACGTACGAATGAATTATAGAATACTCGCCTATTTCAAATGAAACCACATCTTTGCAAGCACAATTCGACAAAAAATAATATGTGAATAATATTTGTTTGCGGGCAATAGTTCGTGGATGCCATCCTTTGCCTAGCAATATAACGAAGACAATTACAGTATATATCCTCTTCTGTGTATGTTTAGGGCGTGCGTGTTTTCTTTTTAGTCAAGTTAATCAAATTCTAACGAATTTTTATATATTCACTGTATATATGTAGAATTCTAAAGGTATATATATTCAGTAATCAATGGCGAAGAAATTAATTGCCACAGGAGAAGCTAGTTCAACAGCATAGTAATGTTCTTGGCCATCTGCATGTACGCAATTTTGTGCAAAACGGCACGTAAAGGATTTGAGGGTATAACCGAGTTGCGGTGGAACGCTTTGTCACCGAATCGTTTTCAGTGAGGAGCCTTCTATATGGCTTAAATTACCAAAGCTGACTTATTTCGTAACGTATTTATCGGGACCAAAAATGAGGCCTTGAAGTTTCTTCTTTCGTTTAGGAAAGCTAAAAAAGACTTATAGATTGATATTTCTCTGCCGCATGTAGTTGGAAGGTTTATGGAAAGGTTTGAGTTCGATAATTAAAAACCAGCATTGTTTTTTTAGACATCTTTATGCGTCTGTGGAAATAAGTGGTTCAAGCAATGAATTACAGTTTGGCCCGACTTCGCCGTAAAGAATTCTCTATATACGCACTCACCCAACACTTTAACTCATGACACATAGTTTTGGGACAGACGATTTCTTTCGTAGCAGAAAAGCACTAATCGCCATATGAAAAATTTAGAAAAAATTCTGTATTTATGCGTGTACGACAGTTGTCTTTCTGCATCCCATGTGACGTTATTCATTAATGAAAAACATTAATGGCGACGGCGTACAAAGCTCATACGGACGCGCGTGATTTGCATCGGGCGTATAATGAAATATCGTTGTGAAAATATCTATTCCCAAGATCATTCCTGTGCGATTCCTCGTCACGTTTGTCAGTCCGGATCCTAAAGAGAAGCACAATACAATAGGTGATTTAACAACGACTAACAAACAAATTGATTGAAATGAAATAACTGAATTACTTTACCTACTACTCTATATAAAACCACCGATCCGCCATTAACGACCAAAATTCAATATTGTTCGCTTCATCTGTAAACACTAAAGAGTAGCTGTTATTACGTTTCTACACAAGAATAGGTGATGTATGAGCAATTCGAGTGTCACTCACGTGTGTCTTTTGAATTTCTAATTAAAACCGAAGAAAAAACTATATGTATGTAAGCCGTATTGAATCTTATGGATGAATCTGATATGCAAAACTATGCATCCGTTTACCCTCTTAGGCCTTTACAGCTTAATGCTAATTTCCTATCGCCATTCGATTGTATAAAACAGCAGCTACCCAGAGGCGACGACGTTATACGATGTTTGGTCATACCTGCAACAAGTGATGCCAATGTGGACATGATGTATCGACTCTAATATTCATTTGTAATAATATGAGGTAAAAAATGATACGGATATAAATTGCCAGTGAATTTTTTCTATCTCAACAAAATACGTAGTTGTAAGTCGATCTGGGTCGATGGTAGTTTACAGTTTAGAACATTATAAGTAACTGAAATTAATTGTCAGGTTCTCTAAGGATGACCAAAGGAGCTAAGATCAGTTTGAATACCATATGTTGTATACACAATGTGTATTTTCTAACGAAGCGCGTCCTCTATGTGGTGAGCAAGTAGCTTTGACGATTTCGTATGTGCAAAATCGCCTTTATCTTTTTCAGGACTAGTTATTGACTTTCGAGAAAAAAAATGGTTCATTAATTGTTAGAGAAATGTACATCGGAAGTTTAGAACGTGGTACTAGTTGATGTAATCACACGGCTTCACTTTGTTTCAATTAACAGTCAGTTGCCAAGTCTCATTTTTTAAAATTCACGGCTTTGCCTGTATGCGAACTTTATTATCTCAGTCTACTCCCGTTTTTTAAAGAGGTCGCGTATTTCTATTTGTTATCAATTCTTGCATGGAAGGTCAAAGATCATAGAAGTTGCCTTGTTTTTCCGAAGTGAATTTTTTCTTCCCTTTTATTTGACACTTTATTCTAACGTTTTGAGGTCGTTACTCCCTTTCCCTTTCGTCTGCTTCTTCTACGACAAACATCTACATGCTTTGTACACGCTATGAAATCAATGTGAATTTGCCATGGCCGGGACTACATCCAGAAATTGAATCAAGCACCGTCTTCTGTTCGGGGGATGTCGATGCTCTACTGGCCGGTACTATTCCGCCGATGCCCAGTTTTCCGCCGACGACAAACGTTCGACGATACAATTGTTCCTACTGTGACTACTCGTCGGTATTTCGCTCGAACCTCGATAAGCATATCCGTAAGCATACGGGCGATAAACCGTTCAAGTGTGCCATCAGTGGCTGTGTCTTCCGAACGGCAAACAAAAGTAATCTCAATCAACACCACAAAGCTGTACACGGGATCGTATCATTACGAAGGTAGAAACCAGACACTGAGAGAAAGAGCACAAAACGGGATGGGCGCGAGAGAGGAAATTGCGAATGGATGAATCGAAAGAAGGACGGGCGCGAAAAAAGAATACGCGCTCAAAACCGCGCGAGAGCCGACCGCGTATAGAGTCCTATAGTCGAGAAAACGAAACATCAAGACGTGTGTATATTTATTTGTAGATGAAACATTGCAATCGGCATTAAAAACGTAAGGCATGCGTGGTGGAAAGCTGAGTAACTGACACATAAGAAAAAATATTGCAGAACAAAATCGTAGCGCGTTGATTTTCTAATAGCACTTAACCGATGATGACTGGATGAGAAGCAGTTTTGAGTGCCTACAGATGTCCAATCTTCTTCTTGGTAGGTGATTTCATGAATTAATGAGAGGTGGGGATACTATACAAAAACGCGCTTAAAGCAGCCGTGGGGTTCCTGGTTATGATCATTTTCACGTCTATTTTTGAGTTAATTTGTTTTTCTGGACTTGATACAACGAAATACGTATTTGTAAAGTGTATGTATACCCTTGGTGAACCTAGTGTACTTTTATTGTCTTATTATCTCCGGTTAGTCATGGCATACTTTAACAGTTCCGATCCAGGCTATTAAAACACGCTACAGGATCTTGGAATTAGCAATAACTGTACGATGTGCTTCTTAACGAAATAAGGAACTTTATGTGGCCCAAAATCCAAGGCTTCGCTTGCACGTGATATACAACATTACCTTGATGGCATGGTTTGTATACTGTTTAGGATGCTGTCCTATTCCGCTGGCTTTGGTCAATAAGTTGTTTAAAGGACATTGAATCGGGTTTGAGACAGTGAAATTGAAAATTAACTTGGGTAGTATAATAACAGCTATACAGAAGTTGCAGAAATTCGTCAAGGACTTCAATTTTTTTTACCTTGGTTAAAAATATTGCAATCGAATAACTGTATAGCTTATGCGGACGCGACGCGACGCAACGCAACGCTAGAGAGCACTTGAATGCCTCACACGTTCTATATATGAAGATAGAGATAGAAAGGAAGCAGGGAGCAAGACGCATGCGCGGAGCAAACTCAACAATGTACAATGTATTTCCGATTTTTTCCCCGGCTTCATTATATTACCTATGTGATAGATTTAATATTTACTCATGTGTAGAAAGCGTTTTATTTTCAAATCTATGTATACTCATAGTGCATACATATTTAACAGTAATATATCATGGACGTAACGCTCGCGGCTGCATAATTTAAACGTAGAAGGACATCGAGAAAATACTCATGTATAAATTTTAGCATTCGTGCCCTGCATGTTGTTCAGGATGTTTCTAGTCAATCAGTGATCTAGTCAGATACCCGTGCTAAATATATTGTGTATCAACACATCACCAAGCTTGTACAGAGTGCACTAATACATTATACATGTGACGTAATATGAAGGGACATCTAAAAAACACCGGAATAAGTATTGATGTAAATATGAAATACACATAACTATATATGCTATATACGTTCGCACGTGCGAGGAGTATTTTATGTAAATTCGTAGAGTATATATGTATATATATATATATTAGTGGCACATCTATGGGATACAGTTTTATTTCTGTATTATTCTTGCGTGATATCTGACGGTCATCCTTGTTCAACATAACCATTAGTGATTGCGAGAACAGCTTCAATTCAGATCCTAAAGCACTCAGAGGTTTGTTCCAAAGGTTACCTTTGCAGTGATGCTAACGCCTTATTGACAGTGGCACGTGTAAGCAAATTAACATTATCATGCGAAGACTTCCTCTCTCATTATATCGTTTACTCTCGTTTAATCACGCTTCTTACATAATAACCAGATGGGTTCAAATCCGGGACATTTGCCGGCTACATGCTAATTCTAAAGTATTCTAAAGCGACCAATGGTAGTGTAGGTCAGTGCGTTACAGAAGCTTTAGCTATTCACGGTTACGTGGCAGTTTGTAAAACATGCCGATAAGTTTCTTTCTTAATATATTCACCTTTTTTTAATAACTATAATGGAATGACATCTTCACTAGACTTTCACTAGATTTTTCATATTCAGAAAAAAACTTCGGCTGCAAACTCGTTTCTAGCCACAATAGTTACATCCTATGGGTCGTGAGCACGCGAACAATATTCTCTACAATTTATCTTTGCATCGAGGATGAAACATTATTAGAAAATGAAGACAATCCGTTTCTTGATTCTTAACAGAATTAATTAAAAAATAACACCGAAAAAATCTTTCGGCCTTCTTGTCCTCAGAAACCAAGCGACTGACCATTATGACATACGACATGTACCTGATACACATCAAATCGAAAAGACACTTCCGGGCGGCATAGATCATCTTTGAAATTGGCGCTATTCTTGTTCTGTTGTGGACTTTTTCTTGTCCTATGTTGAAGTCTGGTTCTGCCAATAGCAGCCATACTGATCTGCGACATTTTGCACGGTCGATTAACAGTAACCGAGCCGTGACCGGGTAAAGTTTATAATCATGCTGACCCTTCTTTCAGTGCATAGGAATTGCATAAGGCTAAAAACGACGCATTGTTGCTCGCCTGGACGATTTTAATGGAAAAAAAATGGTCTTAGGCTGGTGCCAGGAGCAGCGGATGAACGCAGGCACGTTATGACAAACAATTTACTTAAGTTTCCCAGTTTGAAAGCGCCACTCATATATA